TCACCCAATTTCGTTTAAGGTGATGAAGGACTGGTAGACGAATTTTCCCACGATGCTTCCATTAAAGTTCACATAACCTTGCTATTTCAAAAGTTTTTCTCATTCAGGGTGGACTGCAGTTTCGCCATCGCATAGGTAGTCGAATTTTCCCGGTTTGACTCCTGCTGGCGGGGTTGATAAGACCGATGCGAGGTCGAAACTGCAGTCCATCCTAAACGAGAACAACTTTTGGGAAAGCAAGGCAAGGAAAGCAATTAAGTCGCTCTGACAACACGACCAAGTTGTAAAAACAGGGTCGGCTCATTTTCGAACTAAATTTAAATTCTTATCAGTTCTTTGCTTTAGACCGAAAGAATTCCTTTCACCGAGTAAGTGGAAATAAGACCTGGTGAAAGCAAGAGTTTCTTTACTAATAATATCAAAATAAACAGGCTGATACACATGATCAACAGAGTTGAAGGGGCATTCGTTTTACATAGTGTGTTATGCTTTTTCCTTTTCACACAAAACTAAATAAACTGATTATAAAAGACAAAAGCTATACAAAACCAGAATAAATCAAGAAATATTGCAATCACAAGTTGAGAAAGAGATCAAATTAACTTGCCATCTCCAACAATTTTCTAAGTCATCATTATTTCTCAATGTTAAGATTGGATGAATATCACAAACAAAGCAGTATAGAGTGCGGCTTTTTGAAGGGAACAAAATTTTGATTATTGATAATATAACATACAGATGAGCTTTATTTTAAACCAGATTATCGTCTAGATTATAGAGAAGGTACTATCGTGCAAACTGCTCTTAAAATGTTTGCATCCTTGGCCAGGAAAGAGACGGTTTAGCTATGGAGTCTTCATTTAGGCAGTAAATCACAATATCAAATAGATCTTGAGCGATAACCAGTAGACAAACTGTTCGCTCACCCAATTACTCAGCAATCTCTCTATCAGACAAAGCAGAGTTAAGCTGAATTTTCTGTCATTTATTTTGACAACTTCGCCTAGTTATTCACTTACTTTTCAGTCATTCATTTAAATCCTTTCTCCACACTATGTAATCTATGAAGCTATCTTTACCCCTTAAAAACACACTCGGTTAGTTAAGCCTTTTTCCAGTCAGCAGTTCATTCTTCAAGCTCGCATACCTCCAATACATTGCCAGGATCTGATGCTTAATCGAATTGGTATTCCATTTATTCACTAAGATGGTGGATTATTTATTTCTCTATTTTACACTGATCTTGTAGCTGTTTTTTCGCCAAGTTGTCTAGTAACGGAAAGATTCATCATTATAGATATTAATGTCCAGAATATGACTCAGTGATGAGATCGTTAATTACTTTTCAACTGGAGAACCAATCGCCTACTTATCTTTCATACAGTCAAGCTGTTATTTAGATAGACCTTCAACCACTCTTTTCAGTATTTACTCAACATATAGGACAGTGGCCACTTCATGCAACGAAAGAATTGTTAATCTGTCAACCTACTAACCGATTAGCCAGCATATAAGTTATTCACTAGTAAGCCTGAAACTCAGAAAATGACTAATTTAGTTATCAAAAAATCATTCCTTTTATTTCAACTATAAACTTCCTGCAATCGGGGATAATTACTCAATCATCCACTAGTAGTATGTCTTGATCAGGAAATCAGTTAAGCATAGTAAATCAATTAGTCAGTTATTCAGAAAGTCAGCCATCATAAATTACACCTATTCACTCTTTTGCACATTTAGTAAATCATAACTTTAGCCATCTAGTTAGTTATTCAACTGAGTAAAACAATCACACAATAATCTTGCCAGTTTTGATTTTAGTAACTTGGCTGCTAAATCTTTCTTCAAACAGCCATGCTTTCAGTTTATCAATCATCAAATCATTTATTCCGCCAAAGAGCTGTTGGGCCAAATAGGTACTCGGTTTATCAGTCTTTTAGTCGCTTAACAACGATTTCAATAACCCATTCGTTTTTACTCAGTGAAAGGATAATTCTATCGGCAAATTGGTATTTAACTTGGTCAACTAACAAGCAACCTAGTTGTTTAGTCATTCTGCCAGTGGTAAGGTCATTAACAATGATATTCTAAAGCTATATCTCTCTGTCGATTTTATTACTTCAGTCATGCAAGGAGTTCTCTCCCTCAAGGTAGCCTAATCCTGAATTTCTCAGTGCATGTAACTCTGTCTCTCCCCTATTCCCGCTATTTCGGCGTATTTGTCTGTAGACTTCGATCAAATTTCGGTATCGGTCTGCCTCTTCTAGGTTTTTTTCTCCTTTTTTAAGCACCGTCTTCCTTAAACGGTTTTAAAACTGGGCTCACTCTCGATCAGTCAATTTTTCTCTTTCTTGCTTACTTCGCAGCTTTCATATGCATGCACATTCCTTACTCTATACCGAACGGTTTCACCTGTCGTGATGTTCCTGGACTGGCAAGCATGGAAGATAACTTGTCGCGCATCTTCGTCGTCACTTCGCCGATGTGGACTTCAAAGGTGACCACCAGATCTCCGCATGTTGACGATTTACTTGAGGATGGAGATTGGTATTTCATCTTCGGAGAATAGTGTGGAAGGCCTGCACCAATAATTCTCTGGATATGACCCGTGTCTGTGCCTGCCGGAATCGTTAAAGTGTGCTTGGTATTATTCAGACCGGTTACCTATAGCAGAATGTTAAAAATCTAAACTCATCAAATGCTTTATATTTAAAAAAATTCCAAAGCAATTTTTCCAATATAATAAGCATAATAGAAGAGGAGGTAAATCATGAGCCAAGCGAGACGTACAGGCAGTGATATTAGATCTGACCACGATGAATTAAAATAGATAATTGCTTTT